TCATAAAACAAGAAGGGCTATACAAATATCAAAATCGGACATAATAACATAACTATTTAAAATAAGTTCAATATTACTAGTATCTCTCACACTCTTACTGTCATCCATCAAGTAGGACCATAAAAAATCATTAAGGTTAAAAATTTTAATTTTAGAATTCTCCATCACTCTTATCATTTACGGAACCTCATTAAAATCATCAATACAATAATCTATTTTCTCCCTCATCTCATCCACAGTTGTATCTATGATATTTCATTCATTCTCATCTTGTATCTCCATCATCTTCTTCTCATTTTATCAATTTTAGACGATAAAAATATCATCACATAAAAACTTTAACATCACATAAAAAATATCATCACTATCTTTATAAAACTGAAATACATGTTTTGATACATAAGTTTGTGAGATGCTATAAGTGCAAATATCAAACATTGAGTTTTAGATAAGTAATACATAAAAAATTGTGTGATGTATGTACATTTTCCTAAAAATATTTATTAGATCTTAAAGTATTGACTATGTTAATAGTAACAAATTTAACTATATTTTAAGTTGTGTATGATATGGGTAAGAAATTCTTTTTAGGGTTATTTTACTTGCATTTATTTTAAGGAAAACTATATATTTAATTGTGTATGCCTCACCATAATTGAGAGGAGGTGCACCTTGAGGCAGACCTAATATTATGCAAGTTTAATCCATGCTAGCCGTAACAAAATGCATTGCATGGAAGGTTTAATAAAAAATCTACATAAAAATTATAACATTTGTCACCATCTTCCTTATCCTTGATAACCATGCCACAACTACTTCAACAACCCTTAAAACTTGTTAAAAACATCCTAATCAAAGATTCTCCCCTTTTTAGATTTCTACTTATGTTTCAACTCTAATCCGTACTACAATCTTTTTGGGGTGTTCATTTATCTAACTTCTTCACATAATCCTCTTTATGCCCCACTATTTCTCTTCCTATACTTGACCCTTCAAACTCTCGCTACACATCTTCATTATGAAATTTCTCTCAATTTTACAACTTCCTTTATTTCTTCACATCTTCTTTAACCGCTCCACTCTCTAAGGCCATTTCCTCTATATTTCTTCACATCTTCTTTAACCGCTCCACTCTCTGAGGCCATTTCCTCTATTCCTCTATTAGATTTCTAAGCCATCATCCCAATTAAAACAATCACCCTTCTTACCTTAGTCTCCATTAAACATCCATACTATCGTAAGCTTCCTTTAATGCCTCCTATAAACAGGCTAATAAAAAACTCAAAAGTTTATAGAAAATTTCCAAATATTTTTCTGTATGGTGGATAACTTCATTATTACAAAAATTTAATACCTAAAAATCCCAAAGGATTTTAAAAATTTATAACTAGCTCTTTTGGGAAACATAGGCACTTTATGAAGGTGAGCTAGTCCTTGAAATATCATGACCTTAATGAAAAATGGTTAAGATAATATCATTCTTTGTTTTTTTTCCCAAATAAATTTTTCAACATGATTTTTCATGATAGGAGCTATCTATGAAAAGCTCATGAACATGCTATTTTAATGGGTGTTCTCTTAGTGCTTTTTTAAATACTTTCATATATCTATTAAAAAAGACCAATTGACAAAATTAATTTGTTGTTTTTTTTATTTGCTAAATTTTGTAATGTAAAGGGATAAGAAGGCTTAACTAAAGTTGTAGTTGTAACTTTAGGAGATATAACCTGCTTTCATTCAAGTTTTGCTTCAAGCATAGGCTTGGGCTCAAGATCAAATTCATATTCACACTTGTGCTGATAACTTCCAAGTGGGGTAATCATTTAGCTCTTCTCAAAGTACTTTAAGACCTTAATCGGGAAATAAAGAAACCACGTAAACGCTTTATAGATATGCAATACAAACTACCATTAATTTCCTTGGTATTCTTTGTTTGTGTTACAAATCAAGCCAATTAATCTTGGCAGGAATTGAGATTGATGATGAGGAGCTAGCACGTTTTGTAGAACATGTCGATAAAGATAACAATGGAATCATAACTTTTGAAGAGTGGAGAGACTTTCTTCTGCTATACCCACATGAGGCAACTATCGAGAATATCTACCATTATTGGGAA